AATTTTCCAACATTTCCAGTGACATTTAATTTTCCTTTTTCCCCCTGGGCCAAGCAGGCCATGGATATAAACATCAACCCACTCTCTTAAAACTCTCTAGGTAGCTTTTCTAGTGTTCATAGAAGACACCCACAGAAATTAAATAAAGCCCAAAGAAATTAAATAAATTACTCTGCAAGAAAAGCACAGAACACAAACTCAGTGAACTCACCTCTCTGATTTCCTCTATTTAAATCTAAAAAAAGAGGGTGCAGAATTTTCCATTTCCCTCTGCACTGTACTCTGCAGCCGTGCCAGGGTGGAGTGCACTCCGATTGTTATCTGAGCGTGACTCAGTGCCTTTCTTGAGCAATCCAACCTTCAACTCTGCATTTCCAGGGATTTTCGTGTTTGCTTTAAAAATAAAAGCRAAATWAAATAAACTCTCCCAACCCTGATATTTTGGTACTGTTCTATTTACTGCAGTTGAATCTTAACTTCATCAGAGTACAGTTCTTCCTGTGGGATTTAGCTGATGTTTGTAAAGCACTTGATTTATGATGAACTGTTGAAAATCATGTTCAGGGCTGCTGTACAGCTGRGGGTCTCTGTGCTTTCGTTGTTATTGTTGTGAGGCCATTTCTCACCWCAAAGACCCTCTGACAGTTTGCCTTCCCCCATCCCCACAGTTTTGATTCCCACTTTTCCTCAGCAGAGTTGCAAAACTTGCTTGGGAAGCAATTGTACCACAGAATTATYAAGAACACAAGCAGAGAGCCAGTTTGTTTTCCTGCCCTTGGTGCTGGTTTGGTGACATCCAATTCATTAATTACACATCTGTGGTGTTTATTTCCCTTCTCAGGGTGCAGTGCTTTCTGCTCATTAATCCMAATGTTTCCTGGTTTCCTCCAGTCCTCGTTGCTCTCATCTCCCCAGGCTTTAGCACTTGTTTCTCTTTTCCTGTGGCCTTTTAATTGCAATGTCACCCCCAAATACTGTGAGACRATGCCAGAGAGACCCCATCCATCAGAGGCATCGTTTCAGGACACGTGAAGGGGAAAATTCCTATTTGGTTGATTTAGAAAGCCTGCAGCCTCCATAAATGCTGGCTGGGCTCCAGCTTGTGAAGGGAAGGAGGATGGAGAGTTGGGGGAAGCACGTGCTATTTCCAAAAAAACCCCAAGGTAAATCCCATACCTGGGAATGTTCCAGCATGAGGAGAGCGGTGACTGCAGATATCGGTGAGGATGAGGAGACACAAAAAGGTTCGTGTGAGAGGAGAGTGAAACACAACAGCAGAAAGCTCCTGACTAACTGTGCTTTCCTGGGACAGGTGATGGACAGCTCCATGCCCCTGATCGGGGAGCACGTGGAGGAGGACAGACAGCTCATTGCAGATCTGGTTGTTTCCAAAATGACCCAGCTGGTGCTCACTGCTGGATCCAGCCCGTCCCCACTGCGGCCCTGGGTAAGAGTCAACACAGTCCTGGTGACAAAGTGACCAAATCATCTCCTGAGGCTGTTCCTTTCCTCTCCTTGCCGTGTCACACATCTCAGAGA